ATCTAATAGAATTCTATAAATGCCTTCTGATAGATGAGTATACTTAACTAAAGTCATACACATGTGGATTGATACCAGTATATGGCAGTGCTTAACCACGCGAAAGCATTTTCACAGATGAAATACATAAACTTTCACTACAGATAAGCTTTAACAGATGCATATCTGTTTGCAACTGATTTTAATGAGAGGAAACACTCACTTTGAACCCTAATTAAGTAAAATAAGAGGGTACTTCAAAAAGTTCATGGAAAATATAATTTGAAAGTTTATTTTGGAACAAAAATTTTTGAAAGCCATGCATAGTTTTTTCATAATATGCATTTCCATAAACTTTTTAAAAAGATTTATTTATTTATTTGAGAGTTACACAGAAAGAGAGGGAGAGAGAGATCTTCCATCAGCTGCCTCACTCCCCAGATGACTGCAACAGTCAGGGCCGGGCCAAGGCAGGAGCCAGAAGCTTCATCTGGGTCTCCCACATGGATGGCAGGGGCCCAAACCCTTGAGTCATCTTCAGCTGCTTTTCCCAGGCCATTAGCAGGGAGCTGGATCGGAAGAGGAGCACCCAGGACACGAATCAGCACCTACACAGGATGCCCGTATCACAGATAGTAGCTTCTGCTGCTATGCCACAACGCTGACCCCTTCTGTGAACTTTTAGGAATACTTATTTGAAAGGCAGAGACAGAGAGACAGAGAGACAGAGACAGGTAGAGCTCTTCCACCCACTAGTTTACTTGCCAAATGCCTGCAACAGCTGGAACTGGGCCAGTTAGAAGTCAGAAGCCAAAGCAGTCAATCTGGTCTCCCACGTTGGTGGCAGGGACCCAAAATACCTGAGCTGGATCGGACCTGCTGTCTCTCAGGGTGTGCATTAACAGAAAGCTGGCTTTAAAAGTGAACTGAAGGGGCCAGCGCTATGGCGCAGAGGGTTAACACCCTGGCCTGAAGCGCTGTCATCCCATATGGGCACCAGTTCTTGTCCCGGCTGCTCCTCTTGCGATCCAGCTCTCTGCCATGGCCTGGGAAGGCAGTAGAAAATGGCCCAAGTCCTTGGGCCCCTGCACCCATATGGGAGACCCAGAATAAGCTCCTGGTTTCTGGCTTCAGATCAGTGCAGTTCCAGCCATTGTGGCCAATTAGGAAGTGAACCATCGGATGGAAGACCTCTTTCTCTCTCTGCCTCTTCTCTCTCTATGTAACTCTGACTTTCAAATAAATCAATAAATCTTTAAAAAAAAAAAAGAGAAGAAAGTGAACTGAAGACTTCAACCTAGGTACTCTAATATGGGATATGGGCGTCTCAAGTGGTTATCTTACCTTTTTAAAAATATTTATTTATTTACTTGAAAGGCAGAGTTACAGAGAGGCAGAGGCAGAGAGAGAGAAAGAGAGAGATGTCTTCCACCCACTGGTTCACTCCCCAAATGGCCGCAATGGTCAGAGCTGGGCCGATCTGAAGCCAGGAGCCAGGAGCCAGGAGCTTTTCCCAGTTCTTCCAGGTGGGTGCAGGGGCCCAAGCACTTGGGCCATCTTCCACTGCTTTCCCAAGGCCATAGCTGAGAGCAAGATAGGAAGTGGAGCAGTCAGGATTTGAACCAGGGCCCAAATGGGATGCCAGCACTGCAGGCGGCAGCATTTACCCACTATGCGCCAGCCCCACCAAGTGGTATCTTAACCTCTGAGCTAAACACCAGCCCCTCCATGAAATTTTTGAAGATCCCTTATATTATTCCACTCCATGAAAGAATATCATTCTTCTCACTAGTAGACCTCTATTACAAAATTTATACTTGATTATTAATATAATTTAATTTTCTCAATAGAACATGTGTGGAAATTTGTTTTCTTTTTATAAAATTACCTACACAGTGTTATTGATTTTGCTTATTAGGCCTTATAGCCAAAATATTTTTCCATAGCCTTTTACAGAAATTGTTCTTACCCTCACACCAGACTAAGTCACCTAAGGGGCTAGATTGTGTATAATTTATCACTATATTACCAGTATATATTAGAGTGTCTGATATACAGAAGATTGATAAATATTGAATAACGTAGAATCATAGGGATGAGATTAGACTGAGACCTAGGAGGAATCACTGTGATTCTCTGGAATTTAAACTGCTATTTCTTTGATACTTAATTATCTTCATTCAAGGACTGGTGGGTTGCTTTCAGTTCCCTTCTATTTAGACCTTGTGTATGTTGAACACTGCGCTTCTTCCAGCCAACCTGTCATTGCTCTAGTCACAAGCTCCTGCTGCCTTCAGTAAGGTCTCTGCTACCAGCCTCCTATTTTTGATTATTCAAGTTATCCAGTGTATACTGTCTCAATGTCCTTATTCTGAACTCCAGGCTTCTGTCCTCCTCAAAGAGAATCCTGGAAGAGTTCCTGGGTGGCAAGCAAGATTACTAAGATTCCTTACTTATGAATCTATTAGATTAATGATTAGAATCCAACATTCAGAATATATAAAGAACTCTTACAATCCAAGAGTAAAATGACAAGCCAATTGAAAATAGGCAAAGGATTTGAATAGACATTCCTCCAAAGAAGATACATAAATGACCAAGAATGTGGAGGGGCTGGCGCTGTGGCGCAGCAGGTTAATGCCCTGGCTTGAAGCGCCAGCATCCCATATGGGCACCAGTTCTCATCCTGGCTGCTCCTCTTCCGATCCAGCTCTCTGCTATGGCCTGCGAAAGCAGTAGAAGATGGCCCAAGTCCTTGGACCCCTGCACCCACGTGGGAGACCCGGAAGAAGCTCCTGGCTCCCGACTTTGGATCAGTTCAGTTCTGGCCTTTGCGGCCATCCGGGTAGTGAACCAGCAGATGGAAGACCTCTCTCTCTGTAACTCTGTCTTTCAAATAAATAAAATTAAAAAAAAATAAAATAAAGGTTCATAGAAGAAAAAAAGATAACCATTAAAAAAAAAGAGTATAGAAACGTAGTCAACATCATTAGCCATCAGGGAAATGCTAATCAAAGTACAATAAGATATCACTTTACAACCACCAGGATGGCTATAATACAAAATGCAGATAGTAATTATTGGTGGGGCCGGTGTTGTGGTGAAGGGGGTAAAACTGCTGCCTGCAGTCCTGGCTGTTCCACTTCTGATCCAGCTCCCTGCTAATGGCCTAAGAGTTTGGGCCCCTGCGCCCACATGGGAGACATGGAAGAAGCTCCTGGCTCCTTCCTGGCCCAGTGCAGGCCATTGTGGCCATCTGGGGAGTGAACCAGTGGATGGAAGATTCTCTCTCTCTCTCTCCCTCTCCCTCTCTGTAACTTGGACTTCGAAAATAAAATTTTCTTAAGAATTATTGGCAAGGATGTGGAGAAATCAAACCATTATACTTTGCTGATAAGAATGTAAAATTGTAAGCCACTTTAGAAAACACTCTGAGCAGCGCTGTGGTGTAGCGTGTAAAGCCTCCGCTTGCAGTGCCGGCATCCCATATGAACGCCGGTTCGAGTCCTAGCTGCTTCACTTCCAATCCAGCTCTCTCCTATGGCCTGGGAAAGCAGTGGAAGATGGCCCAATTGCTTGGGTCCTTGCACCCACGTGGGAGACCTGGAAGAAGCTCCTGGCTCCTGGCTCCTGGCTCCTGGCTCCTGGCTTCGGATCGGCCCAGCTCCAGCCAAACCAGTGGATGGCAAACTTTCTCTTTGCCTCTGCCTCTGTAATTCTGACTTTCAAATAAATAAATAAATAAATAAATAAATAAATAAATCTTTTTAAAAAACCACACACTCTGGTAGGGGAACTCCACCTGGCATGGTTCCCACCCACCTCCGCCTTAGAGCCCAGGATGCTCGGAACAGAGGCCACCCCAGGCTCCGTGCTTCCTTAGCTTGTAGAAAGAACCTCTCCCAGCTGCCTTTCTCCCCATTCCCCACGGGTGTCCTGAGGACTGCCCTGGGCTCCATGTAAGTGTCTGAAGCTTTGGACTGCAAGCCCCAAGTTAAGCTTTTGTCTTTTTGCACCAAAGAAACTCATTTTTAAATTTTTATTTAATTTATTTAATTAAACTTTAATTTAAAAATTTTAAAAAAGGAAGAAAAAGAAAACACTCTGATAGTGCCTCAAAATGCTAAACATAGAGTTGAAATCAGACATGACCCCCGATTTCGGAGTTACCGTAAGACTCAGGAGTTCTACTCCTGGGTATACTTCCAAGGTTACTGAAAACACATCCTCACAACGACTTATACGTAAATGTTTGCAGCAGCATTATTGATAATGGCAAAGAGTGTAAACAAGTAGAATGTCCATCAACTGATGAATGAGCAAAATGTGGGATATTCATACAGTGAAATATTAGCAATAAAAGGAAATGAAATACTACAACATGGATGAACCGTGACAACATTATGCTACTGAAAAAAGCCAGACAAATGGTCACATACTGTATAAAGTGTACAAAGTGTTCAGAACAGGCAAGTCCGTAGAAAGAGAAAGTAGATTAGTGGTTGGTTAGCAGAGGGCTGGGAAGGAGGGTCGGAGAATGATTACTAATAGGTGTGGGATTTCTTTTTGAGATGATAATATTTTCGAATTACATAGTGGTGACAGTTGCACAACTTTATACTTAAAAGAAAAACCCACTGAATTATACACTTTAAAATAAGGATGAACTTTAAGATATGAATTATATCTTAATTTTTAAAAATGCCTCTACTTCATTCAATACTCATCCTGAATACTGAGATTAAAAATAAAAATATCTAGAGGCACACCTAAAATCTGTATTACGCAATATATAATGTATAGTTCTTGTATATTTTTGTATATGCATAACTTATAGAGATATAAATAAGTAACTTCAATCATGTTAAAGGTGTGACAACTAAATCAGTCCCATCTAACTGGCCAAGGCAAAGGAAGTTCCGGGCGGCTCAGGGCGGGCCCCCGCGCCTTTAAGCGTGATGGGGCCGCCCGGAAGTTCATTTGACCAGAGTCGCGGAAGAGAAATAACGCAATGTGCGCCTTTGACGTCACTTCTGCGCGACTCTTTTCCTAGGCGTCTGGTTCTCGGGCTACTCTTCTGAACTATGCCTAAAGTAGTGTCGCGGTCGGTAGTCTGCTCCGACACCCGCGACCGGGAGGAATATGACGACGGCGAGAAGCCCCTGCACGTCTACTACTGCTTGTGTGGCCAGATGGTGCTGGTGCTGGGTGAGTAATCGGGAACTGGGGAGCGGGTGCCGGGAGTGAGACTTGGGGTTCTTGAGGGCGAATTTTCTCTGGTCTCGATCGGGGAGCCGCCTCTCATTGACGATTGGTTGGCTTTGCCTTTCCGTCAGAGTCTTCCCTACAAGTCCTCGCCCCACTCCAAGGCAATTTTTTTTTTTCTTTCTGTTTAACTGAAACTCCCTCAAAACCAATCTCCTCCTTCAGGGGAAAAAATACTGTATCTCCCTTTCAGCGTTCTGCATATAAAGATGCTGCGTGCAACAGCTCCCATCTTAGAATAAACGAGAATAAAATCCTTCTTTGACCCAATGTTCCCCTCCGACTATAACCTCATTTTTTTTTTTTTTTTTGCTGCTTTTATAGCAAAGTTTCTCAAGCTGATTATATTGGCTATGTCTGCATTCTCACTTCTCATGCTCTCTTGACCTTATTTCAAACAATCTTTCCTTCCCACCTATCTAAGGTCACTCGAGAAAGTTTGTGGAAAATGGAATTAAAATCGAAGTTTATTTTGGTGAAAAATCTTTGAAATTCATGAAGAGGAGGGTCTTCAAAAATTTCATGGAAAATGCACATTGTTTAAAAAGTGCTTAGATTTCAAAATATGTTTTGCACCAAAATAAACATCTTTTAAGTTCCTTTTCCACAAGCTTTTTGAAGTACCCTCAAATTTGTCAAGGTTACTAACTGAACTCCATGTTGCCAGTTCCAGTGGTCAGTTATTAATGTTCATTTTAATCCCCTTCTCACTGGCATTTAATAGAGATGATTGCTTCATTGTTCTTGACACATGTATTTTGGGAGGTGTTTGGTGCAGCAGTTAAGACTCCTGCATCCCATCTGGGTTCAAGTCTCAGCTCAGCTTCTGATTCCACCTTCCTGCTAATGTGTACCCTGGGAGGCAGCGGTGATTGCTTAAGTAGTTGGATCCCTATCACCCATGTGGGAGATCTGAATGGAGTGTCCTGGGTTTCTGGCTTCAGCCTGGGCTGGGCCCAGCTGTGGGATGCATTTGGGGAGTAAACCAGTAGATTGAAGATGTCTTTCTCTGTGTATGTCCCTGACTCTTGGCCTTTTGGATAAAAATAAATTTTTTAAATGATTATTTATTTATTTATTTATTTTTGACAGGCAGAGTGGATAGTGAGAGAGAGAGACAGAGAGAAAGGTCTTCCTTTTTGCCATTGGTTCACCCTCCAATGGCCGCCACGGCTGGCGTGCTGCGGCCGGTGCACCGCGCTAATCTGAAGGCAGGAGCCAGGTGCTTCTCCTGGTCTCCCCTGGGGTGCAGGGCCCAAGCACTTGGGCCATCCTCCACTGCACTCCCTGGCCACAGCAGAGAGCTGGCCTGGAAGAGGGGCAACCGGGAAAGAATCCGGCGCCCCGACCAGGACTAGAACCCGGTGTGCCGGTGCCGCTAGGTGGAGGATTAGCATAGTGAGCCGCGGCGCTGGCCTAAATGATTTTTTTAAGAAAGAAACATGTCCTTTATTTGTTTCTAAGACCAGAATTCTGATTTTCTTCCCACTTCAGATTTTGCCCCTTTTTGGTCTCTGGCTTCTTTTTCCTTCCAACTTTTAGGTATTTCAAAATCCTAATACTTAGCATGCTCATCTATTCTTGCTCTGTACACGCTCCCTGGATGATCTACACCTTTTCCAGGCTTTAAGTACTGTTAACTCCCAGATATTCACCTTCAACCTACACCTCTCCTCAAATTCCAATTGCCTGTTCAACATCTACACTCAGATGTGTAATGGACCTCTCAAATACATAGTGTTCAAAATTGAATTCATGATCCTCTGCTCCCTGCTCTGCAATTGCTCCTCTTATGTGTTGTCTTTCCTGATGCAGTCATTAGTACCATGTTCACCCCGTATCTTATTTCAAAGAGTAAATGAGCTAGTGTATGAACTGTCTGGCGTTCAGTAGCACCCCTCTCCACTTCTTCCATTAATCCTGAGTCTCTCTGAATGCTTGACTTTCTCTATGATCCTTTAGATACTTAATTTACATTATATTAGTTTTCCTTCTACTTGAAACTGTTTCCTGCATGTTTTCTGTTTTTCAAAAAAATTTATTTTTTTCTTTATTTGAAAGGCAGTGACAGAGAGAGTAACAGAGAGATCTTCCATCTGTTGATTGACCCCTCAGATGGCTCCAGTGGTCAAGGCTGGGCCAGGTCCAAGCCGGGAACCAGGAACTCTCATATAGGTCTCCACAAAGGTGGAAGGGGCTCAAGTACTTGGGTTCTTCTGCTGCCTTCCTGGGCACATTAGCAGCAACTGGATCAGGAACAGAGCAGCCAGGACTTGAATCAGCCCTCTGATATGGGATGCTGGCATCACAGGTGGCTACTTAACCTGCTGTTCCAAAATGTTTCATGCATGTTTTCACTGTTTTTGTATTAAAACTCCTTCAACTAGCTTGTGTCATCTGCAGACTACATGTATCATTTCACCTACCCACTTTCTCATTTCTTTAGCACTTACCTACTTTTCCCAGTGCCTTCCTTGTAGGACTTCAAGAATGCTTCTTTTTTTCTGACTCTGTAATGTATATTATAACACAAACCAAATGTACTGAAATTACAGAAATAGCAATTTGAATTGCAGTGCTGTGAAGAACTTTCAAGATAATATATCTACTCATCTTCCAAATGAGGAAAACATCCCTGAAGGAAGAAGTGATTGGCCAAAGATCGCCAGGGTAGTAACAGAGCTGGGACCAACACCAATGTCTCCTAACAACAATTCATTTTTAGTAGAGAAACTCAGTAATAGTATTTACAGTAATTACAGTAGTAAATTATAGTGCATAAGGACCCCACTTAAAATTTTGATTAGCTCAAGGTATTTTCTAGTAACTCTAGTGACTAAATCTGTCTCCATTCCTTCAGACTGTCAATTAGAGAAATTACCCATGAGGCCCCGGGACCGGTCCCGTGTGATTGATGCTGCCAAACATGCTCACAAGTTTTGTAACACAGAAGACGAGGAGACTATTTATCTTCGGAGGTAAGAGGTTGATACTCTGTCTAGGATTTTCTATTGTCTTAGGGTCTATTCCTGAAGAGTATAAGTATCCCATCTAGTGTCAAATAGGTCACTCAGTTGGGCCTAGTACCTTGGTGTTCATTGTAGCTCTCTAACTTCTGTTAATGCAGCAATATCTTGATTGTGCTTTGTTGAGATTTTGCTGAGATTTGATTCTATTGCCATTTTTTTTTTTTTGACAGGCAGAGTGGATAGTGAGAGAGAGAGACAGAAAGGTCTTCCTTTTTGCCGTTGGTTCACCCTCCAATAGCCGCCACGGCTAGCGTGCTGCGGCCGGTGCACCGCGCTGATCCGAAGGCAGGAGCCAAGTGCTTATCCTATCTCCCTTGGGGTGCAGGGCCCAAGCACTTGGGCCATCCTCCACTGCCTTCCTGGGCCAGAGCAGAGAGCTGGCCTGGAAGAGGGGCAACCGGGACAGAATCCGGCGCCCCGACTGGGACTAGAACCCGGTGTGCCGGCACCGCTAGGTGGAGGATTAGCCTATTGAGCCGCGGCACTGGCCTCCATTGCCATTTGATAGCAGTAACTTGATTACAAATTATAGGTTTCAATGAGTTCATTCAACCTGTACTCTTTTGGAGCATATCGTGTGCCAACCACTGAGTTAGGTATGGATCTGTGAAGGTAAGTAAGGTATGATCTTTATCATTAAAGAGCTCATGGCTCAATGAGGGAACAGACTACCTATTGTAAAAGGAGGAAGCACTGGTGTTGTGATCAAACATTATGGGAAAACAAGTCAGTGTGGGTCACCCTGTGTGAATGGAAAAACTCCAAAAGATAGTGGCATTTGTGTTTGGCCTGAACTAGAGTTTCACCAAGTAGATGAGAGGGATGAGGAATATCCCAAATGGAGGGAATATGGTAGCATCAAAAGCATCATATGTGGCATACCTGGGAAGTTTCAGTAGTTCTCTGCGGCTGGAACACAGGTTACTTTAGAGAAAGGAGTTCATGCATATTGGAGAGAGAACAGAATACAGTGTTGAAATAGGCAAGTTTGGATTTTACCTATAGGTAATAAAAAGCCATCTCTGTTGTTTTTAAGCTGGGGAGTGTGACATTGTTAGTTCTGTGCTTTATTTGAGAGTCCTTGATATATATGGGGAATTGAAACCCAAGAAGGAATAAAATTACAGAGTGTTGAGCAAGAAGAGGAGGGGTTGAAAATTTAAAAGCAGACAAAATAATTGGAACTGTACCACGATAAGTTAGTGATGTGAAAACAAGAGAGATTTCATGAAGTGTGGAGTAGGGGCAGGGAGGAAAGGGGCACATCAACAGATGTCAAATGCCTTGAGAAGGTCAATCCTAAGGAATTAAAAAGTCCACCCATTGGGGCTGTCTCTGTGATGCAGTAGGTTAATCCTCCGCCTGCGGCGCTGGCATCCCACATGGGCACCAGTTCGAGTCCTACCTGCTCCATTTCCAATCCAGCTCTCTGCTATGGCCTAGGAAGGCAGTGGAAGATGGTCCAAGCACTTGGGCCCCTGCACCCATGTGGGAGACCCAGAAGAGGCTCCTGGCTCCTTGCTTCAGATGGGCTCAGCTCTGGCCTTTGCGGCCATTTGGGGAGTAAAACAGTGGATGGAAGATCTCTCTCTCTCTCTCTCTCTCTCATTGTCTGTAACTCTACCTCTCAAATAAATAAATAAATAATCTTTTTAAAAAAGTCCACCCATCTATTCAGCAAATATTTCACTTATTGACTTCTATTATATGCTTAAACCTAGAATATACCAGTGTGTTAACGTTGCTGGGGATGCCATAATAAAGTACCAAAACTAGGTGGCTTAAAACAGCAGAAATTAATTGTCTCATAGTTCTGAAGGCTAGAAGTCTGTAATCAAGGTGTTGGCAGGGCCATACTTTCTCAAGGTTCTAGGAGAAGATCATTCTTTGCCCATTCCTTTTTTTTTTTTTTTTTGACAGGCAGAGTGGACAAGTGAGAGAGAGAGACAGAGAGAAAGGTCTTCCTTTGCCATTGGTTCACCCTCCAATGGCCGCCGCGGCTGGCGCGCTGCGGCCGGTGCACCGCGCCGATCCGATGGCAGGAGCCAGGAGCCAGGTGCTTTTCCTGGTCTCCCATGGGGTGCAGGGCCCAAGCACCTGGGCCATCCTCCACTGCACTCCCTGGCCACAGCAGAGGGCTGGCCTGGAAGAGGGGCAACCGGGACAGAACCCGGCGCCCCGACTGGGACTAGAACCCGGTGTGCCGGCGCCGCTAGGCGGAGGATTAGCCTAGTGAGCTGCGGCGCCGGCTAAGCCCATTCCTAACTCTTGATGTTTGCCAGCAATCCTTGGCATTCTCTGGTTTATAAAAATGATAACTCCAGTCACAACCTGCATCATCACATGGAGTTTTCCCTGTGTCTTTTCTCTTATAAGGACACCAGTCATATTGGATTAATTGACATTCCTACTCCCATGTGACCTCATCTTAACTAATTATATCTGCACCAACTCCATTTGCAAATAATATCACATTCTGAGGTTCCTGGAAAGATGTGAATGTTTAAGGAATACTATCCAACGTAGTACAAAGCAAAGAACTCTCCCTTTGTGGAACTTCATATTCTAGTGTTGAACTGAAAAAAGATAGGCTGTCCTATAACTATTACATTTAAGAAACAAAATTGTTACTAGCGCTCAGTAATGAAGAGTTAGAGACCGCTGCAAGGTGACTTTCAGTAGTAAACCAGGCATCCAGTACCATTATGATTACTGCTTTTAGAATGGAGTAGCTGAAGTGAAAATAGGTTGTGTCCAAGAAACAGCTGGGAGCATGGTAGCACAGCTATAAAACTTAAGAAATTTGTAAAAGAAGGTCCTTGAGGAAACATCAGAAAAATGCTCCATTATGGGATGTAGGAAGCTTAAAAATAATATGCCATATCAAAAATAATAATAATAATAATATGCCCTATCCAGGCTAATCCATGCTCTTATGCTTCATCCTCCTTCATTCTTTTGGCTATCAATTTTGCAGATTATTCACTGACCATCTTTAGAATCATTAAAGTATTTATAATTACATATATAATATTATTTAGAGTAAGCTAATATGTATTATTCAGTTAATATAGAGAGAAGTTAACACAACTAGGCCACAGACTCCTGTGGCACTCTTAAGTCAGATACCCTTACCTCGAAGCCAAAAAATAACTGGGTGGTCCTAGACTGAAGTAGAAACCCAATCAGCCTAATCCTGGAGGTAATCCAGCTTTTTTTTTTTTTAAAGATTTTATTTATTTACTTGAGAGGTAGAGTTACAGACAGTGAGAGGGAGAGACAGAGAGAAAGGTCTTCCTTCCCCTGGTTCACTCCCCAATTGGCCACAATGGCCGGAGCTGTGCCAATCTAAAGCCAGGAGCCAGGAGCTTCTTCTGGGTCTCCCATGTGGGTGTAGGGGCCCAAGGACTTGGGCCATCTTCTACTTCCTTCCCAGGCCACAGCAGAGAGCTGGACTGGAAGAGGAGGAGCCGGGACCAGAACCAGCACCCTTATGGGATGCTGGCGCCCCATGCCAGGGCTTTAACCCACTGTGCCACAGCGCCAGCCTGGTGATCCAGCTTTAGAGCCAAGTGGTACCAAAGATCAGTGGCCTCTGGCTAAGTGACTGCTGAGCCATGGAGTCCTCAGAGTTTACCAACAAGCCATAGGAGACTTCCTCTTGGTTGACATACTACCTGCCCTAATCACGAACACTCTTTCCAACAGCCCACTAAATGTGTTCTTTTGGTCAGGGTGGAATTTTGGTTTTCTCTACCCTGAGTATAGGGAGTACTAATTCCTGAAAATATAACAGTCTACCTACCACTTGCCCTGAAGCCCATGATCTTCTACCTCCAAGGCTCTCCATTCTAAAGTAACTGTCCTTTGACACTGTTATTCCCTGATTCCCTCTTTTTCGCCATCCCCCACACCTCCAGTTGCAAATCCAGTGGCTGCTTTTCTGTCATATCTTTGTTGACCATGCCTCCCTTGAAGCTGTCTTCTTGATTTCTGTGAAGCTACTCTTGTAATTCTACTTCTTTCACTTTCTCAGTCTTCTGGTTTCTTTTTCTTCTGTATGCCCCTTGAATATTACTATTCTGCAGGACTCTGACTTTGACTTTGTCCCCTCTCCTCTTTATACCCTCCTCAGGCATTCTCATCACCTTCTGTGACAATTAGTTGTACTCATGGTGATGAGTCTTGACATGTGGATCCACTTACATTCTCCCCTGTGCCCCAGAGGTGTGTCTCTTGCTCCTACTCTCCCTCTTCACCTGATGTTCTACCTCAGACTTAACATGACTAAAGTCAGACTCCCCATTTTTCTACTGTGGACAGTACCTCAGATTGGTTCACTCAGCACTACTCCAACAATCTTCTATTACCCTCATATGTACTGATGTCTGTAAAGCTAAGGCATATATTCTAGCCCTCTCCTCATCCCAACAACTAAAATTCTGAATGCGACTTAGCTTTTTCTAAGTGTAAGGAATGGAAGTAGAAGTTGCTGGGTGGGGCTTCCAGGGAAAGCCCTTTTTGTCCTTATTCTGTTCTGCTTTTTGGAAAATGGATATGCTAATTGGAGCAGCCATCCAGAGACTGGGAGAGAAGGGCCACAAGAATTGCAGGACCTTTGCTATGCTATCCTTGGGTCTCACTCACCCAGTGCCAGGAACTACCTTCCTCTGGGCTTCTTCTACGAGAGAGGACATGCTCTTGTGCTGAAGACAGGTGTTGTCACTATCAGCCAGATGCCAATTTCCTCCTTTTCCTTCTATGATTACACCATGATTCATTCAGTGGCTCCAGCCAGAAATCTGGGAGTTGGCCTCTCTTTGTCACAACCAATTCTACCCCTAACATCCCCTGCACATATCCAGTTACTCATCATGTACTGTTGCTTCTACTTTCTAATCTGTCTTGTGACCGCCTCCTGTTCAGCCCTGCTACAACTGCTATCATTC